ATTCTTGATCATCAAAACCACCATTGAATAGACATGCAGAGTTTCTTGAGATTTCTAGCAATAGTGGGAGTAGATCATTTAGAATAATTGAATTACAAGAGGCTAGTGATGAGACACCTATAATTCATGTACCCATATCGATCGACAAGCCACTTGTCACCTTGAGTGATCATCTAACGTCACAAAATGAGAATACAATAAATATTGAGGTAAATGAGTCAGTTCCTCATGAACCTGTTCAATAAATTAATGTTGAACCTCAAGAAACTCGAGCCTTTACGTGGGTCACAACGACCTAGGTAGCCCACATAATATGACGATTATTTCACTTTTTTAAATGAGGCTGATTTTGATTAGGGAAATGTAACGACCCAACATCCTATGAGGATGCCATTACTTGTGATCAATCAGCTCATTGGAAGGAAGCTATGAAAGATGAGTTTAGTTCAATGAATAAAAATAACGTTTGGGAACTTGTTGAATTGCCAAAGGGTGCAAAACCCATTGGATGCAAATGGGTATTCAAAACCAAACTTGACTCATATGGAAATATCGAACGATACAAAGCTCGTTTGGTTGCAAAAGGGTATAATCAAAAGGAGGGCATTGATTATAAAAATACATTTTCTCCTGTGTTGAGAAAAGAATCCCTAAGAATCGTGAAGGCCCTTGTAGCTCACTTTGACTTAGAGTTACATCAAATGGACGTCAAAACTGTTTTTTTTAATGGAGATTTACATGAAGATATGTTTATGACCCAACCGGAAGGTTTCAAGTCTAATGGTCAAGAACACTTGGTCTGTAAACTCAAGAAATCAATTTATGGGCTTAAACAAGCATCTCGTCAGGGGTATCTGAAATTTGACGAGGTAATGAAGAAGAATAACTTCATTAAAAATAAGGTAGATCAGTTCATATACCTCAAGATGAGTGGGAGAAATTTCATTATACTTGTGCTTTATGTGGATGATATACTTTTGGTAAGTAATAATGTTGATTTGTTGTATGAGTCAAAACGTCTTCTTTCTAGAAACTTTGACATGAAAGATCTCGGTGATGCTTCGTATGTTATTGGAATTGAGATTCATCGAGATCGAGCCAATGGGAATTAGGATTGTCGCGAAAGGCCTACATTGAACGTGTACTTAGTAGGTTCAATATGCAACATTGCTCCCCCTCCGTTGCTCCTATAGTTAAGGGTGATGTTTTCGGGTCTTTCCAATGTCCGAAAATTGAGGTAGAATATGAACAAATGAGGCTCATTCCTTATGCTTCTGTGGTTGGAAGCTTGATGTATGCTCAAGTTTGTACTCGATCGGATATCGCATATGTAGCTGGCATGCTAGGCAGATATCAATCTAATCCAGGCCTAGATCATTGGAAAGCTGCTAAGAAAGTTTTACGACATCTACAAGGAATGAAATAGTACAAATTGACTTATAGAAAATCGGAAAACCTTGAGGTAATCGGATACTCCTACTCGGACTTTGCAAATGCAAGGGCGATAAAAAGTCAACTTCGGGATATGTATTTATGCTATCAGGTGGGCCTATTTCTTGAAGAGGTCATAAACAATAACTGACGACGACCTCAACAATGATGGCTGAGTATGTAGCAGTTTATAATGCAACATGCCATGCAATGTTGTTGAGAAGTTTGATTAGCGCACTCAAAGTAGTCAACTCTATTTCAAGGCCAATAAAGATTTACTGCGATAATAATGCAGCAGTAAGCTTCTCGAACAACAATAGTTCAAGTGGAGCTGTATTATATCTCGATACAAACTATTTATTCGTACGAGAAAGAGTGGAGGAACAAAGTTTATGTATCGATCACATTAGCACTCATAATATGCTTGCAGATCCGTTAACTAAAGGTCTACCACCCAAAGTATTTCAAGATCACGTCCTCAAAATGGGATTTAGACGAGACCTTACATAATGTTGTAACTAGTAAACTATTCTATAATGATGTTCAGTATCAAAACAAGCGCTTGAATATCTAATCCTCCATTAATATGAAGTTTGTCTGTATTAGCGTTCAGTTGTGTACACTTATGTTTCATTATGGACAAACATATTTATTTACCACATTACTTTATTTTCATTTTGGCTTAATCAAATCATAAGATTTCATACCAGCATCAAAAGTATAAAAGGTGGGGGTCTTGTGTCAATAGCGACACTTTAGGCTGTATTTTTTTGCTTTGGTGCTATTGTGGAATTATGATGAATTGAATGAACTTTATATCTGACCAATTTAATGGTTAGTCTGCATATCAATGGTTATACGACCAAGTGGGAGAATGTTAGAATATTTCTACTTATAAGTGGCCTTAAACCATTTAGACTAACAATATTTAACATATGGTATAAGTATTAAGTATACCCTTAACTATGCCCTAATGACATTATCTATCCTAACTAACTAATGGCAGTTATTTTGATGGAAAAAACTGTCATATAACTAACTATAAATAGGTGGTCTTTTCATGTGTGAGATGCCATAAGAACACAAGAGAAATAAAAAATTCTTTCAAAAATAATAACACCATAACTTGTGGAATCCCTCCATCGGATTGTTGGCATCATCACCGGAATATTGACTCATCCTAACGATATGGCTTCATCATCTAATGTCAATCAGAAACTGATACTACCAAGTAAGTTATACTCAGTTTTTATAATGATTATTGATGATCTTGAGTTTAAATCCTGTTAGATGTTTTAAAAAATTAACAAAAGCATCTCCTATGATTATGTTAGTTTAGAAATTTTAGAAAAATTTGATTTCAGACAGATAAGCTAAAACTCTCTATAACAGAAAAAAACACAAAATATAGAAATTTTTGGATTTAAAAAAAAGAGAAAATATAGTAAACCAGGTTGAAGATATTGTTACATGGTTAAAACCCTTCATATAATCTCTTGAATTAATGTTTGTTCCTTTAATTATATAAATAATATTTTAGTATTATCGAATTATATGGTTGTAAGCTATAGATTAACTAATATCTATATATCTATAATATATTATAAAACATTTAATAAAAAACTCTTAAAAACCATTTTTTATATATAAAGTATTGTTTATTAATACATATTACCTAAAATTCAAGATTATAAGTAATTATGCATAAGTATAGCTTATTAAAGTTCCATTTTAAATTCGTGTAACTAATTGCAGATAAACATAATCAAATATAAATAAATATTTCATTTTAAATATAAAAAATCTAAAATATAATTAAGATGATCATTAAATTTTAATGGAACACTTAATTATCATATTTATACAAAAATTATATTATTAAATCGAAAATAATTACTTTGTGATTAAATCTAAATTAAATTATAATAAAAAAATAAATTAAAGAAATTATATAAAAAACGTGAACTTTTAAATAGTTAATTTGATACTAATATCGATATATTTTTTCAAAATTTTATGAGATTCAAATTTATATTTTATTAAAACATAAGAACATTATCGCTTTATCAAAAATATATAAAACCGTGTTATCACTACCAAACAGGAACTCTTTACCAGCGGACAAATCCGCCGGAAGTCCTCCGCAAGAAAAGAGGGCACCGGTGATTCGTTTTCCGTCGAGTTTTCCGGCGGATGATTTATTTTTCCGGCGGATTTTCACCGCCGAAAACCTTTCGCCGGCTTAATTAGGAAAATTTGTTTTACTTAATTAAAATTTTAAGAAAATTTTTTAAATGAAAATTTAATTTACCGGAAATCCGCCACAAAATTTAATTTACCGGCGGAAATTTTTTAAATGAAATTTTTTAAGCCCAATACGATCCATTAAAGTACAACTAACATTAGTTAAAGTCCAATAGAACCGTTAAAGCCCAATACGATCCATTAAATCCCAACTAACATCCATTAAAGCCCAATATAACCGTTAAAACACAATATGATACATTAAAGCCCAACTAACACCCATTAAAGCCCAATAGAACTGTTAAAGTCCATTAACATCGTTTAAAGTCCAATACAATCCATTATTTAAAAAAAAGTTTGAAAAATGAGAAAAAAAATAATTCCGCCGGAAATTCGCCGGAAAATGTTAAAATGATTTTTATTTCAAATAAATTTCCGGCGAAATAATTATTAGAATTTTAAAAAAATAAATAAGAAATATTATATATAATTATTTCCGACAGATTTCCGGCGGATAATTAATTATTCGCCGGAAATCCGCTGGTAAATTGTTGTAATTAGATCTAAATACAAGATTAAACTAAGTAATTATGAAATCCGCCGGAAATACTTTTACTGATGGATTTCCGGTGGGAGTCAACAAAAGTTGACTTTTTTGAAGTCCGCCGGAAATCCACTGGTATATTATCGTCGGATTCCGTCCGCCGGAAATTGCACCAGAAATGACCAGTTTTCTAGTAGTGTATAATTTCAACACAGAAAAAATAAAACAAAACATTAAAATTAAGATGTATCAATATAACATGTAGTTCATAATTTATAAAAAGACATTAATGAGAAAAATACATTATCGATCATCATCGATACGGTTTCATTATAAACACAAAGCTTCAATATATCCTAATCTACTATGAGATTTGATGATACGAATAAACATCTGAAATTTGGTGTTATTATTGTTGGTATTAATTGTGTAATAAAATTAAAATGGAATAATAAAAATAAAAGTTAAAAAAATAATTCTTGTGAAAAGAAGTAAATTTGGTTGTGTAAGATACGAAAAACACGAGCTACAAATTGTGGTTGAATAGCACAAAAGTTGGCATTCAGATCTTGAATCATACTTGTAGTAAGAAATAACCACCTCAAACACTCATGTTTACACGGTGACACTACGACATAGTCTTAATCCCCGATAACCATGCTTACTAATTAAGCTGTCCAATTCCTCCTTTAAATACCCATCTCCACAACCTTCATCTTCATCTTCATCTGTCTCACTTCTCTTTCTACTACTATCCATGGCTTCTCAAAACAAACCACTTCTTTTTATCTTTGTCTTTCTTCTCTTCGGTTCCTTATCTGTTTTGGCCCAATACTCTCCTAGTTATGCCTGCGACATCGATAAAAATCCGAGCTTGAAGAACTACGCCTTTTGTAATAAGTCACTGGATGTGAAAACGAGGGTCGATGATTTGGTGAAGAGGATGTCATTGCAAGAAAAGGCAGGAAGCATAGTGAGTGTAGCCGATAGCATCGACCGCCTTGGGATACCGCATTATGGGTGGTGGTCGGAGGCTTTACATGGCGTTTCTGACACTGGACCTGCGACTTGGTTCAACAAGACTATAGTCCCTGGAGCCACTAGTTACCCTGTAGTCATCCTCACTGCAGCCTCATTCAATGTATCTCTATTCAACATTCTTGGAAAGGTATCAATAATGCCTGTTCTTTAATTTTACGCATATGGGTTGGGTTTCTCTTAATTAAGATTCTTTGCTTCAATTATATATATATATATATATATATATATATATATACATATATGTTTCTGGATCATAATCATCATTATGTACAATCTTGATGAGCATAGGTGGTCTCGAATGAAGCTAGAGCAATGTACAACACTGGTGTTGCAGGACTAACATTTTGGTCACCAAATGTGAACATCTTCCGAGATCCCAGATGGGGAAGAGGGCAGGAAACCCCAGGAGAAGATCCACTCTTATCCAGCATATTTGGAGTCGCTTATGTTAAAGGTCTACAAGACAGAGATGATGGCGATAAAGATCGTCTCAAGATCGGAGCTTGCTGTAAACACTACACTGCCTATGATCTTGATAATTGGACTAGCGTCGATCGATTCCATTTCAATGCCATTGTATGTTTATTTTTCTTATCGAAATATAACATCTGCGGTATATATGTTTATAAATCAAAAGTTTGAAAGGTGACATCTTTTTCTTTCTTTTGAAGATAACAAAGCAAGATTTGGAGGATACATATAACCCTCCATTCAAAAGCTGTGTTTTGGATGGAAATGTTGCAAGTATTATGTGTTCTTTCAACCAAATTAATGGCATACCAACTTGTGGTGATAAGGAGCTTTTGGAAGACACTGTCCGGGGTGAATGGAAATTAAATGGGTAATTTTTCGATCCATTCCGTGCCTTGTTTATGAATGAAACCAAACAATGCATAATTACTGAATGTTTGGTTTTACAGATACATTAGTTCCGATTGTGATTCATTAATAATCATGTTCAAAGACCAACGTTGGGCTAAAACACCCGAGGAAGTTACAGCGGATGCTTTAATAGCAGGTGATCGACAAAAGCCGGTTTTGTGCTTTATGCATTACAATTCGTATATACTAAGTGTTTGCAAAAATAATATTGTTTCCAGGGTTGGATCTCAACTGTGGGGATTCACTAAAGAACTTCACAGAAAATGCGGTAAAGAGGGGTCTCGTGAATGAATCAGTGGTGGATCGGGCTGTTACGAACAACTTCGCGACACTTATGAGGCTCGGGTTCTTTGATGGTCACCCAAGCAAGCAAATGTATGGAAATTTGGGAAAGAAAGATATATGCACCAAGGCTAACCAGGAACTAGCCCGTGAAACAGCTAGACAAGGCATTGTGTTGCTTAAGAACAATTTAGGGTCATTGCCACTCCGTCCAACAAACATCAAGTCTCTAGCAGTAATCGGGCCTAATGCAAATGCCACAAAAGCCATGATTGGCAACTATGCAGGGATTCCATGCAAATACACAAGTCCTCTACAAGCGTTCTCAGAATCGGTCCAAACTGTATTCGAGTCAGGCTGTGAAAATGTGTTGTGTAACGTTACCTCCTATTTCGAGAAGGCAAGGAGCATTGCGGCTGCTGCAGACGCCGTGGTTCTAGTCATGGGTACAGATCTTTCCGTAGAAGCCGAGGGTCTAGATAGGATGGATATAGTTCTTCCTGGACAACAAAACCTTCTTGTTTCCCAAGTCGCATATGCAGCTAAAGGACCGGTGATTCTTGTCATAATGTCTGGAGGTGGAATGGATGTTAGTTTTGCGAAACGTAACCCTAAGGTCACTAGCATTTTGTGGGTCGGGTTTCCTGGCCAAGAAGGTGGAGCTGCCATGGCTGATGTCATTTTCGGTCGTTATAATCCAGGTACATTTTCGTGATTGCTTAATTACTCATGTTCATATCAATCACACAACTAAACTAAAAAGTGAAACCCGTTTGATTCTCGAGCGTTTTTTAACTGGATGTTTGTATATTTGCAGGTGGAAGACTACCCATGACATGGTATCCACGATCCTATTTGATGTCAGTTCCTATGGACAACATGAACATGAGACCAGACCCATCCACAGGCCACCCAGGTCGAAGCTATCGGTTCTATAGAGGCGAAACTGTTTACCCTTTCGGGTACGGACTCAGTTACTCATTGTACGTCCATCGTCTCATTAAAGCACCCAAGACTGTTTCAATCCCACTGAACAACTCGTCATCTACCATCGACTCGATTGATGCAACGGACGATGTTTGCAATGGCTTAACATTCGATGTTAATATGATGGTAACGAATATAGGAAAGATGTCTGGAAGCCACAGCATCTTGTTGTTCTCTAACCCTCCTCCTGTGATCCATAATTCACCTACCAAGCAGTTGGTGGATTTCAAGAGGATCAAGTTGAGTCCATGGGAGCGAACTTCAGTTAGCTTCAAGATCGATGTTTGCAAGCAATTGAGTGTGGTTGATGAAGATGGTAAATGGAAGGTTCCATTAGGGAAACATGGTCTTCAAATTGGAGACGTCGAACACTCCGTAAGCCTCAAGATTTGATTAGTGTTTTTTAGTTAATGGCATTAGATTTGATTTCATGGATGTTTTAGACGACATCCATAGCCACGGATCAACCATGGGTACGCAAAAAAAGAATAAGGGTAATCTATGTGTTATAATTACCCGATTATTCGTTTTAATTGTACCTTATCGTTTTCTTTAATTAACCGTGCAAATAATATTATCTTAGAAATTTATAGATTTTATTTTATTTGAATTATATTTCTATTTCTATAGAGATTGTTCTTCCCAAAATATTTGATATTAATCTATTTTCCCTCTTATTAGTCGGCTCACATAGCGGATTGGATATTCATGTTAATAAAAAAAAAATACAATTAAGGTTGTAAATAAACTGAACCAACACGAACGGAGGTTTCTTCGTGTTCCTTCATTTAGCTTAACTGAATAAACGAAGGAACACTAATGATACAAACGGAATCTTTTGTTCATGTTTATTAAGAAAATGTGTTTGTTTAGTTTGAGTTCGTTTATGTTCGTTCATTAAGATGACAAATGCACGTAATTGAATTTAACCAACATAAATGAACATAAACACACATAAATGAACAAAAAAAAAATCAACATTACTCATCATTTCGTTCCTGAAAAATAACTTAACAAAATGTAAAATCCAACTAATACAAACGAATTAATGTCATAATATATAAATATATTGATATATACAAAGAAACATAAACCAACATAAATGAACAAACAATAACGGACATAAATGAATGGGCGTTTACGAACAAAAATGAACGTAAAGATCATTCTTTCATGTTCGTTCATTTAACCAAACAAATTGAAAATGTCTTTATGTTCGTTCATTTTATTAAATGAATGAATATAAACGACTTCATATCAAATGGTTTTGCTGAACGTTCGGTTCTTTTACACCAATAAATGCCTTTTTATAATCACCCAACATCTTATTACATGTGATTATGTAAAGTTATAATGCACATTTCTTAATACTAAATATGTGACAATATTATCTATATTATATTATAAAATATTTGACAAAAATTCTTAAAAACCATTTTTTATGCATAAACTACGGTTTATTAATGCATATTACTTAAAATTCAAGATCACAACGTAAGTACAATTTATTAAAGCTTCATTTTTGAATTTGTATAACTAACTATATATAAACATAATCAAATACATGATAGACATCTCATTTTAAAATAAAAAATTTAAAATATAATTAGGATAATCATTAATTAATATCTTTATAAAAATTATATTATTAAACGATAAATAATTACTTCGTTATTAAATCTAAATCAAATTATAAATAAAATATTGAATTAAAATTAAACAAAAAACCAAAACTGTAAATAGTAAATTTAATACTAATATCGATATATATTTTTTCCAAATTTTTATGATATATTTAAATTTATATTTTATTCAAAAATAAAAACATTATCGCTTTCTCAAAACCACTAAAAACCGTATTATATCGACATAGATAAATAATAAAAAAAACACTAAAATTAAGATATATCTCGCTATATTATACGAAGACCCTTCTAATATACTATAATGTATAATACAAATGTTTAATTTCTTAAAATGTTCACACCCAAAAAAATTTGGGCCTTGTGGATCTCTAGGCCTTGTCATACCAAAAAAATTATTGATGTGTTTTAAATTTATACCACAAGCGTACGGGTTATGTAGTATAATGGTCGATCACATGGAGGTAACGGTCTAATAAACAATACCCACTTAATAATTATGGTCTAGTTATGTGAATCAGATAATTGATTTGGTTATTAGACTAACTGAACAAAAAATAAACGAGATCAAGGGAAAAAGGTAAAGCCAGAAAGAACTAAAAGCAAAACGAATTACAACTAAAAATAAAGAACACTGAGTAATGTCAACTTTGAATCTTGGTAATAGTGAGAATTCGTTGTGTCAAACTACTTTTTTAAGTATATGATATTTATATACGGCTAATAGAACAAATAAACATACATACCCTCCTCACTTATGGTGAAGTCTGAACCTTTGACCTCCTAGGAGGCCAATGACTCGCATACCACTAGGCCAAAGACCATTTGGTGTGTCAAACTACTTTAACCCTCTTTCGAGGTGGAAAAGTTTTTCTAAACCAAAACATATATTTACTTTTACAATATATGTATGTTAGGAAGAAACTTTAGAATTTAAAACGAATATTTTCTCAGCCAACGTCCATAACTATTTGCATGTTAGGATCGTTGCGATCAATCAATTTAATCGAAGTAGAAGACTAAACCTTCGTTTTCATAAAAAAAAACTAATCAAATTAACTAAATCTTTTATGAAAACCCAATTAAATCAACTCTAAGTTTGTGTTAGAATCAAAATGGATTAAAATCCAACATCCGTTTTAAGAACAATTGGTTAATACCAAAATCTCAATCTTAAGCGATGATTACCCAATAAGACGAATACTAAGTTAATACCAAGAGATGATTCTGTTCTCTAGATCCCAATAGAATTAAAGAAAGTGGGACAAAACTAACTAGCGAGATAACTACATTAGACGTGACCGAGTAACAATTAGTATTGACCAAGAACAAAGATGAGAATTGAATAAATAGATGAACGTATGCACAAAATTAACCAGTCTAACCTAATATGCCGAATATCGTAAAAGATATATATCAAGTGCGGTAAAATAAATTTGAGTGTCGGCAGTAGAGATGCATAAACATAAAAAAAATGAAGTAAAGAATAGAGAAGTGCAGAAAAATTGAAACTTTGATGAATACTAACAAGAACATAGAAGGATTGAAGAAGAAAACTCAAAGAACTATACATTAAGTAATAAAATTCGAACAAAACATGAAGTAACCAAATATAAACTAAAGGGGAGGGGATAGGGAAGAAGATACTTAATAATGTATCTGAAACCGGATGTCAATAGGAATCCAATTGCATAAGCTTCAAGTTCGAATCTTCTTCCCTAAGAATTGAAAAAGTCGACCAAGAACTTAAGAGAAACCAAAGAAATTGTGTTCTCAAGGAATTGTCGGTCAATTCCCCAAGAAAAAAAAAACCCTAAAAAGCAATAAAAATGTAAGCCAAAAGTACCAAAAAGCCCTTCAAAATTCGGCTAGTAGACGCCTTTCACGACCGAGAAGAAACCCCTTCAGGGGAGTGAAAGCAAACAAAAAATTTAAGTTTTTTTCAGACATGATTCACTAGCATGAAAGGTTGGGTTCACGCCCGTGAAAGCAAACATGGTGTAAGTCTTCATCTATGAGGGATTTTCTTCGCGACCCTGAAGGTTATCCTTTGTGCTCGTGAAGCGTGACAGGACCTCCGATCTTCAATTTGTCAACTTTTTGCTCCAAGCCTTCATCTTCATGGGTAAAAACTTCTTCTTTCTTCATTTCTTCTTGGTATCGCTCTCCGATACTTCTGATCCATTCATCATATTGCCTTCAATACCTCGTATAATCTGCACAAAATATACCAAAAGCGTAGAAACTATTCCAAAAACCATTCCAACCGTGGTCAAAGAAGAAAATGGAAAAAAATAAATAATAAAAGATGCATGGAAAGACTTTAAGTAAAGACTATAAAAGTACACAAGACACAACTAAAATATACAAAGTTAGGTGCATAAAATACACTTAACATGTGCTCATGTTCATACATTTTATTAAATAAACGAACTTTTCATCAAATTGTTTGTTGAACGTTCGGTTCTTTTACATCAATAGCTTCAATGTTTTTTTTTTACGATCACACAACATCTTATTACATGTGATTATATAACGTTATAATGCACATACCTTGATACTAGATAATGATAATATTATATTACAAATGTTTAATTTATTAAAAATGTTCACATTCTAAAAAAATTTGGGCCTTGTAGATTATTTTTCTAACACTGAAATGTTTTTGAGTATTGATGTACAATTGTACATGTGCAAATTTATGTGGATGCTAGCCAAGTAGGAAAATGGGGCTAGGCTAATCACCTAGTCGAACATATATGGCCGAATGGTCCATGGTCACATTGGATGGGATCTCAATATATTATAAGTTGTTTTTTGTGCATGAGGATTTTGTAAACATGTTAAACTTCTTGTGGAGGGCCATTTTTGCCGACATGCATACTGATTTGATATTCACTTAGCCGTAAGGCTTACACGTGCATGCATACATGCAGTGGCGGATCCAGGATTTTGGTCTAGTGGGGGCACCTTTAAGGTAGCTTAAACGCCCACAAAGTCGTCCGATGTGTTTTTAGCCTTATTCCACCATTCCAAGAGATTTTTGAAGTTTTTTGGATTATTTCGAGGGATTTTTAAGGGTTTTTTTTATCAATTTTGAGAAACTTTTCAGTTTTTTGGTTGATTTCAAGATACTTTCTTTAGTTGGTGGGGGCCTAACAAGAAATTACGGAGGAAAACCATGGTAGAAAGTAAAAAAAACAACTTTTACCCTTAGAAAATTCATTTTTTTTAATTTTTTAGTGGGGGCCTTTCCCCCCACCTTTTACAAGCTAGATCCGCCACTGCATACATGCTTACAACATATGTTTGCGGGATGTACCCAAGGGCATATTTTGGCATGAGCCACCATTTTTGGCTTTGTTGTAATGCGAATAAGAGATTGTTTACCAAATTTTTTTATTAAGTCATGTATGGAAAAAATTGTGTGTTTGGATAAATTTGTCTTTTTGGATAAATGGATGTTGTTTACTTTTTGTTATCTGAACCAACAGTCTGAATAACATAAATGACTGATTTACCTCCCAATATTAATTATTTGAACATCAAAAAAATCATAAAAAGGCTGACGATGGAATGTCTCATTTGGGAAGGAGGCAGTGCTTTAAATAAGGGGTAGATGTGTCATTTTTGTGGTTGAATGGGGATGACATGCCATTTCTATCTGTGCGAATAAGTCGTAAGTAAACAACCCAAATGAGTTGTGCGAATAAGCCAGATAAACCAATAAGCATAATTAAGCCGCAAGTAAACAGCCCCTAAATTATGTTTCTAAGAGAATGGTACCATATCGTTTTATTGAGTGCCCTTATATTTTCTAAAACTACAATAATGAAACAAGTTTCTCGTGACATAGTTGGTTTGCATGGTCTTTTCTTCCTTTCAAACGTGGGTTGAAAATCCAACATTTACCAATTTCCCTAGTTTTTTAGCTTTTAATTTTGATTTATTATGTTTTAAAAAATTTGGGGTAAAAATTAGTTATAATAAGACTCAAATACAAGCCGTTAAAGCAAAGAATCAACGAACAAACTAATAATGATATTGTAAAAAATACCTATAGATTTTTTTTGTACTGAAATGCAGGGTCGTCCTTTGGAGGGAGGTGGACAGCGCACGCCTAAGGCCCACAACAAATAGGGACCCAATTTTTTTTAGTTATAGTAATTTAAAGAATTAGTAAATAAGAGATATTTTTTTAGTACCTAATGACTTAAGAAAATTAGTATTATATTAAGAGCACATACATGTATTAATTGATTACATTGGAGAACAATAACAATGTAAATAGTTAATTGATTGTTCGCTCTATAATATTGCTTACTATTTTGTTTGGGTAAAAAATCACACCCATGATCGACATGGAAAATATCCTCGACAGGACCCATGGTGATTATTATTATGATGACCAGGAGAAGCGACTAAAGATAGTTGACATCTTCGACATAATATTTCCTACGACGAACTCTAATATTAGTTTATCTTGGATGATGAATAACATTTATTTTCCTCGACAGCCGTTATCTTTGTTATTAAATGCAGGTCATAATTCATAAGTACTGAAAATTTGTTTCATCAATGCACCAAGGGTAATTGACGACCGATATTACATTCATCACTAAAGCATGACCGATATCGACTTAAATCACTTTTGAGAACGACCATTGTCAACCGTCGTTATACTAGGCACCTACAAAAGAACCAAATGCACTCAAGCAAAGGACACATTTGAGAATCCTTCGACTACATTCAACTATTACTTAATGCTCTTCAAGTATGCAAATACTCAATGACACAAGCTACCGCACGAAGAATAATCTACAAAAATATTTGGAAGACTTGACTGTTATTTTCTTAGTTTTCACATGGCACGTCGTGGTTTCCCGCGACCTATCGTTGTAATCTTTATTAGTAAGGACGACATCCACGTTTGACGTCCATAGTGCACTGACGATCTTTATTGTCGTCCAATCCCAAGTCTCCCATTTTCCACGCTCGATGCCCCGGATTATTCTGATTCGTCGCATATTAAAATTCGATCGTTGGACCACTCAACGAATCACCTGTAAAAGACCAGAAGACCTCAAGAAACACCTGCGGAATCCTCAGAAGCTACACGAGGCAGAGAGAAATACTAAAATACTTGTTCTTATTTTCTACGACCGACATGTCAATTTCATTGTAAATATTTCCAAGTACGACATCCCTAATTGATGTTCATAGTGCATCAACAATATATCTCCTGTATCGTCTGAGGTTTTTTCACTTCAACAATTTCTTTGTATCTTTTGATTATTATACTGAAATATCATAGTGCACCACTGACCTTGATGTTGATGTTGATTAATGGGGGTGGGCTATAGTTGCAAACTTGCAAAAGAACATAATAATATATCGGCAAGAATGAATAGAATATCGTTCATATTTCACAATGAAGCAGTGGCAACCTGACACATCATTCTTACGGTGTTTTAAAATGGATAAGGTAAAAAGAGAGATTAAAAAAAGGTTGATTATATTAAAAGAATGAAATAATCATTGAGTGTTAGACATTTTTTACATAGATTTACAACAAACACTTGATGCAATTCATAAGCCACAACATGTCTCTTGGTTAAAGACAAAAATTTTGGAACAATGTCAAGACTTCCAATTTACTATGCTACACCATTTGCTTACAAATCTAATACGGGAACATGGAAAATGGAGTGCAAATAGCTAGCGGAGGAGTGGCACCGGGTGGAAAATGGATCAGAAGATATAAACTAGGTCAAAAAAGAAAACTTTTTAGAGGAAAAAATTAAAGCGTACAACGACGACAGTTGTGTCTGTGGGGTAGATTGATAGAAATAAACGTCGTTAATAAATTTAAAATTGATCTTTTAGCTATGACAAATCGTTTCTATATATAGCTAAAATCTTTTTTTTTTCATTTTTAAAAAAAGATAAACATTTTAATAATATAAACTTTATGTCGTCGCTTTGGTCGTTCCAAAAACAAAACTTATGGATAGTCGCGACATGTTTGAGATATTGCATCATTTTTGGATCCGATTGTTTCCGTATTTCTGTCATTTTGGATAGTTCATACACAATTGAACATATTTGGGACTTGTATATCGTATTTATCGTGTCGTTTATCAATTCCCATTATATATCTAATAAATAAAAATGTTGAAATTCTAATTACGATTATGTTATTTGCACGGGTGACCCATGAATAAACACAGGTAAGGTACAATATTAATTTAGAACGAATAATCGGGTAAATATAACACATCCATTTCCCTTATTCTTGTTTTTTTCTGGGGTACCAAGGTTCCGTGGCTATGGGTGTTATCTAACTAAAACACCTTTGAGATCAAATCTAATGACCCTAAACACCTGCATCAAATCTTGAGACTAACGGAGTGTTGGATATCTCCAATTTGAAGAACATGGCGCCCTAATCCAACCTTCCTATTACCATCTTTATCAACCACACTCAATTGCTTGCAAACGTCGATCTTGAAGCTAATTGAAGTTCTCTCCCATGGCCCCAACTGCACTCTCTTGAAATCTAACAACTGTTTGGTGGGTGAATTATAGATCACCTGAGGAGGGTAAGAGAACAACAAGATGGTGTGGCTCCCACCCATCTTTCCGATATTCGTTACCATCACATCAATGTCTAATGATAAACCATCACAAATATCACCGGATGCATCAAATGATGTGCAAGAAGATGATGAGCAACCGTGAGCTTTATTCAGTGGGATTGATACAAGCTTGGGTGCTTTAATGAGGCGATGGATGTATAATGAGTAGCTGAGTCCATACCCGAAAGGGTAAACAGTTTCACCTCTATAGAACCGATAGCTTCGACCTGGATGGCCTGTGGTTGGGTCTGGTCTCATGTTCATGTCGTTCATGGGAACTGTCTTTGTATAAGATCGTGGATACCATGTCATAGGTAGTCTTCCACCTGCAAACATACAAAACTCCAGTTAGAACACCCGAAACATCAAAGTGGTTTCAATTTTAGTTTAGTTGTGTGATTGATATGATAATTAATGGACTATTAAGCAATCATGAAAATTAACTTACTTGGATTGTAACGACCGAAAATGACATCAGCCATGGCAGCTCCACCTTCTTGGCCAGGAAACCCTACCCACAAAATGCTGGTCACCTTGGGGTTACATTTCGAGAAACTAACATCCATTCCACCTCCGGACATTATAACAAGAATCACCGGTCCTCTAGCTACGTATGCGACTTCAGAAATAAGAAGGTTTTGCTCGCCGGGAAGATCTATTTCTGTCCTATCTAGAGCTTCGGCTTCTACGGTAAGATCCGTTCCCATGACTAGAACCACGGCGTCAGCAGCAGCCGCTACGTTCTTGGCCTTCTCGAATTTGTCGGTAGAGTTACACAACACATTGGCACAGCCTGCCTCGTACACTGTTTGGACTGATTCTGATAAAGCTTCTAAAGGAGTTGTGTATTTGCATGGAATCCCTGCATAGTTTCCAATCATGGCTTTTGTGGCGTTTGCATTAGGCCCGATTACTGCTAGAGACTTGATGTATGTTGGAAGGAGTGGCAACGATCCTAAACTATTCTTAAGCAAAACAATGCCTTGTCTAGCCGTTTCACGGGCTAGGTCCTGGTTATCCTTGGTGCATACGTCTTTCTTTCCCAAATTTCCATACATTTGCTTGCTTGGGTGACCATCAAAGAACCCGAGCCTCATAAGTGTTGCGAAGTTGTTCGTAACAGCCCTATCCACCACCGATTCTTTCACGAGACCCTCTTTTACCGCATTTTCTGTGAACTTCTTTAGTGAATCCCCACAATTGAGGTCCAACCCTATAAACATTGATTATGTAAACACTTAGTATAAACTTATTGTAATGCATAATGCACAAAACCAATTTTTGTCGATTACCTGCTTGTAACGCATCAGCTGTAACTTCCTCGGGTGTTTTAGCCCAATGCTGGTCTTTGAACATGACTTGTAATGAATCACAATCGGAACTAATGTATCTGTAAAACCAAACATATGCATTATTTACGTATTGTTTGGTTCCATTAACCAACGATGCATTGATTGGAATTGAGAGTTACCCATTTAATTTCCATTCACCCCGGACTGTCTCTTCCAAAAGTTCCCTATCACCACAAGTTGGTATCCCATTAACTTGGTTGAAAGAACACATAATACTTGCAACATTTCCATCCAAAACACAACTTTTGAATGGAGGGTTATAAGTATCCTCCAAATCTTGCTTTGTTACCTTCAAAAAAGAAAAAAAGATGTCACCTTTAGAACTTCTGATTTATAAACATATATACCGCAGATGTTATATTTCGATAAAAAAATAAAAATAAACATACAATGGCATTGAAATGGAATCGATCCACGCTAGTCCAATTATCAAGATCATAGGCAGTGTAGTGTTTACAGCAAGCTCCGATCTTGAGTCGATCTTTGTCGCCATCCTCTCTTTCTTGTAGACCTTTAACGAAAGCCACTCCAAATCTACTGGATAAGAGTGGATCTTCTCCTGGCGTTTCCTGTCCTCTTCCCCATCTGGGGTCTCGGAAGATGTTTACATTTGGTGACCAAAATGTTAGTCCTGATACACCAGTGTTGTACATTGCTCTGGCTTCTGTCGAAATCACCTACGCTTATCAAGGTTATCCATAATGATGATTATCGTCCAAAAACATATATATATATATATATATATATATTGAAGCAAAGAATCTTAAAATTAAGACAAACCCATTTGCCTAAAATTAACGAACGCATTTGAGAAATATTATAAATACCTTTCCAAGGATGTTGAATAGAGATTCATTAAACGAGGCTGCAGTGAGGATGACTTGAGGATAACTAGTGGCTCCGGGGATTATAGTCTTATTGAACCAAGTCGCAGGTCCAGTATCAGAAACGCCATGCAAAGCCTCCGACCACCACCCATAGGATGGTATCCCAAGGCGGTTGATGCTGTCGGCTACACTCACTAAGCTTCCAGCCTTTTCTTGCAATGACATTCTCTTCACCAAATCATTTACCCTCGTTTTAAAATCCAGTGAAGCATTACAGAAGGCATAACTCTTCAAGCTTGGATTTTTATCGGTGTCACAGGCATAGCGAGGAGAGTATTGGGCCAAAACAGACGGTGAAACGGATAAAAGAAAGACAAAGACAAGAAGAAGTGGGAATTGTGGTTTGTTTTGGAAGTCCATGGATAGATTTAGAAACAAAGAGAAGAGTTTGGAAGAGGAATGTCGTGGAAATGGGTTTTTAAAGGCAGAATTGTACAAGTGTTAGAGTTGATGGATAGCAACTTTAGTAGACCATTGTTATCGGGTGTTAAAACTATGTGGTGTCACCGTGTAAACATGAGTGTTTGAGGTTGTTATTTCTTACTACGATATGATTCAAGGATCTGAATGCCAACTTTTGTTCCTCGTCACAATATGGTTTGACTATTTATCCACGTCATGTTTTCTGTATCATAATTCCAACACACTGAAACCTATAAACGCTACATCTATATCTATACTACATTATAAAACATTTAGTAAAAACTCTTAAAATCTATTTTTATGCATAAAATACTGGTTATTGATTTATATTACTTAAAATAATTTAGAGGTTGATATTCATACCCTTTTACGTCACTTTTTCACCCCCTCCTTCTCACATACTCACCCCTCGCATACTCACCCTCTCACATTCAACCAAATTTTTAAAATTATAATTTTAAATTTACATTTTATACCCTTATAATTAGTTAATTAATTTATTTTACGTCTTTTACTTTTAAAATTTTTATTTTACACATTTATCAAATTAACATACATAATCGTATATCAATTAAAACATGTATAAAAAAATACATTTTTATTTTAACAAGTTACACCGTTATAACTGTCTCGTTAATACATTCGAAATGAGTCCAATATTGAATAGTTTTTTGACTTAATTATATTATTATATATACTGTGAAAAAATATTTTTAATATTTATGATTTAAACTTTTATAGTTATTTATTTAATTTATGATACATCATTTATTTTTACACCATTATCACATTAAAATACATAATTTTATATTAACTAAAATTAGATCTAGCAACTAAATTAACCTCTCAGGAGGCATTTTCATACGCTTTATTCATCTTGTTCATCTTACATACTCACTTTTTAATATACTTGTTAATTTTATTTTAACAATTATACCATTATAATCATCTCGTTAATCTCTTAGAAATAAACTCAATAATGAATATTATTTGATTTAATTAATATTATTATAATCGTATTTTCAATACCTTTGAAATGAACACAATATTGAATATTTTTGGATTTAATTATATTATTATCTATCATATATAATATGGAAAAAATATTTTTAATACTTACCCTATATACTCTTGTAGTTAATTATTTAATTTTTTAGTATATCCCTAACTTTTTCATTTTCCATTTTTATTTTACATTCTTACCACATTAACATACATAATTGTATATTAAATAAAATATGTTAACAAAATACGTTTTTATTTTAATAAGTTACACCATTATAATCGTCTTGTGAATACTTTCAAATGAGCTCAGTATTGAATATTTTTGGTTAATCATATATTATATACTATAACTACATAAATTATTTTTAATACTTACATTTTATACCCTTACATTTATTTACTTAATTTGTTTTATATACATTACTTTTTCTTTTTTTGTTGTATACCCTTATCACATTAACATACATAATTGTATATTAACTAAAATCCGTTAAAAATATGTTTTTCTTTTAATAAGTTACATCATCATAATCGTCTCGTCAATACCTTCAAAATGAACCCAATATTGAACATCATTATATTTAATTATGGAACTATAATTATATAAATATTATAAGGGTATAAAATAAAAATAAAGAAGTAAATAAATATAATAAATTTTTATAAAGATATAAAGTAT